ATAACGTGAATGAGAGAACGAAAGTGTGTTGACGGACGAATGTAGAGGAGACACACTCGCTGTGTGTGGAGGGGGTGGGGAGGGTTAGTGGACGGGGGGGGGGTGCGTGGGCGGTTGGGGGAGGGGGAAGGTACGTGGACGAGGGTTAGGGGGAGGGTACGTGTATTGTTGTTCATATTTTGTTGGTTGTTTGAGTACTTTGCCGAAAATGGAATTGAGCGAAATGCAAGGGATATGGGGAAGGGAGGAGAGACAGAAAAGTAGTAAGAATTTGGATTATGGATATATAAAGACATACCGACTAAAAGAGAGAAGAAAGAGAGCGAGCGAGCGAGAGAGGGAGAGAGAGGAGAGAGAGGGAGAGAGAGGGAGAGAGAGAGGGAGAGAGAGAGAGAGAGAGAGAGAGAGGAGAGAGAGAGAGGAGAGAGAGAGAGAGAGAGAGAGAGAGAGAGAGAGAGAGAGAGAGAGAGAGAGAGAGAAGAGAGAGAGAGAGAGAGAGAGAGAGAGAGAGAGAATTATAATTACAATTACAGAACACAAGCATAAATTGCATATGCTGAGTATGTACTTAGTATTTTTACCTGGCTATTGCCATGAAAGGTCGAATGTCAAGCTGCGTATTTTACATAAGCTAAAGAATGGCGCGCACGCACACACACACACACACACACACACACACACACACACACACACACACACACACACACACACACACACACACACACACACACACACACACACTGCTGCATTTCTCTTTGTGACACAGATCTGCCATTACATTCACGGAGTCAGATGCCTCCGCCCCTCGCCTGCAGAAGGGGCAGACGGCGGGCGGAGCGAGCAAGGTCCCGACGGAGAGTGAATCTGGCCATCGACCTGCCTTCGAATTTATCATCATTATCGCCAGCTATCGCACTCGCCGCTACTGGTTATTGTGTTCTCTTCTGAGGCTTTTTGTGAGCGTTTACCTTCGACGTATCAGTATGAGCGAGTCGATCGTGAGAAGGCACCTTTAACACTGCGATTGGAGGGTCGGGACGCGGTTTCTGGGGCGCTGCAAAGGGCAAGCCGTTCTTTATTTACAAGGATCGAAACAAACAGCTGTCAGTGTAAACAGCCCGATAGCTGTCGCGCAGATGAGCCTGGAAAATGGTATGCATATATTGGGCATATATCAATCACATGCACACCATTGTTCACACACTCATTCGACCAAACACACGCACACGCACACAGTCACGCACACGCGCGTACACAAACACATACACGCACACAAGCAGCATCCCCCGCCACCAGCCTTCGAGCAGGCGAAGGGAAGCGACGGTTTGATCGGGCACGAATGACAAAAGAGTTCGAGATTGGTTTCAAGGATCAAAAGGCGGGTACGGGCGCCCCCAAAGGGATCCTTCAGAGGATATGGTAAGTGGGGGAGCGAAGGCATCGAGAGAGGGATCTCATCTGCGTCTCACAAGGAACGGCTCCTCAAAGGGACGTCAAAGATAACCAGAACCACCTGTCAGAAGTCACTTCTTCCGCTCGAATCCCATAATGACACCTGCCAGTCGAATGACCTACATGGCCACCTGTTAATCGTTTCACCTACATGGCCACCTGTCAATCGATTCACCTACATGGCCACCAGTTAGTCGAATAACCTATATGGCCACCTGTCAATCGATTCCCCTACATGACCACCTATCAGTCGAATAACCTACATGGCCATCTGCCAGTGGAATCCCCTACATGGCCATCGGTTAGTCCAATCGACCTAAGTCACTCATTCTATTTACCTACCTATCGGAGCTGATGGGAAAAAAACTTGAAATATGATAATCCGTTACTATGACAGACAGAGAGAGATGTAGAGAGATGAATAAAAAGATAGAGAAAAGGGGTGAGGGCTTAGAGACTCAGATAAATGAGATGGAAGTGATAAAATGTGCATGGGAAGGGTGCATCTATCTAACTTTGCCAGTTAGATAAATGGGTAGGTTGACAGATAAAGGGAGAGGAAAGGAAAAGGAGAGAGAGAGAGAGAGAGAGAGAGAGAGAGAGAGAGAGAGAGAGAGAGAGAGAGAAGAGAGAGAGAGAGAGAGAGGAGAGAGGAGAGAGAGAGGAGGGTGGGGGAGGGAGGGGAGGGAGGGAGAGGGGGAGGGAGAGGGAGAGGGAGAGGGAGAGGAGAGGGAGAGGGAGAGGAGAGAGAGAGAGAGAGAGAGAGAGAGAGAGAGAGAGAGAGAGGAGAGAGGAGAGAGAGAGAGAGAGAGAGAGGGAGAGAGGGAGGGAGGGAGGGAGGGAGGGAGGGAGGGAGGGAGGGAGAGGGAGGAGGGAGAGGGGAGAGAGGAGAGAGGGAGAGAGGGAGAGAGGAGAGAGAAGAGAGAGAGAGAGAGAGAGAGAGAGAGAGAGAGAGAGAGAGAGAGAGAGAGAGAGAGAGAGAAGAGAGGAGAGAGAGGAGAGAGAGGGAGAGAGAGGGAGGAGGGAGGGAGGGAGGGAGGGAGGGAGGGAGGGGGAGGGAGGAGGGGAGAGGGAGAGGGAGAGGAGAGGGAGAAGGGAGAGGGAGAGAGAGAGAGAGAGAGAGAGAGAGAGAGAGAGAGAGAGAGAGAGAGAGAGAGAGAGAGAGAGAGAGAGAGAGAGAGAGAGAGAGAGAGAGAGAGAGAGAGAGAGAAACCTCCCATTGCTCCATAAATAACCTGAAAGGCTCTCTCCTCCCTATCTCCCAATCCCTCCCTCCCCCCGCCCCTCCTTCGCCGCCCTCTCCATAAGCCGAAAGAATACTTTGACCTAAATACGGCTGGACATGAATGGAGGCGCGCGCTTTTGCACATTTCTCTCCACTCCTGAGACATTCATTTGGGAATAAAAGCAGGAGAGGGAGCGGGGAGATGAATTGGGAGAGGAAGGGGAGGAACAAAAGAAAAAGAAATGTCATATCTCTATACATGCATTCATCCTCCGCCTTTGAGTGTGGCGCCGGCGGAGGGGGAGCCAGACCTCCTAACTTCTGCGCCGCTCCAGCCGCGGTGCCCCCGCCAGGGAAGGGGGCAGCTGCAGAGGCGTGCGTCCGGTTTTTAACTCTTAACTATAACGCCCTCTCTATTTTTCACCTCTTCCTCTCTTACTCTCACTCACTCACTCACTTTCACTCTCCCTTTCTCTCTCCCTCTCCCTCTCCCTCATATACACACTCTCTCTCTCTTACCCTCTACTCCCTCTCTCTCACTCTCTACCTCTCCCCTCTCTCACTCTCTACCTCTCCTCTCTCTCACCCTCTACCTCCCCCCTCTACCTCCCCCCCCTCTACCTCCCCCCCCTCTCTCTCTCTCTTCTCTTCTCTCTCTCTCTCTCTCTCTCTCTCTCTCTCTCTCTCTCTCTCTCTCTCTCTCTCTCTCTCTCTCTCTCTCTCTCTCTCTCTCTCTTTAATAGTATTTCTCAAGCAGGGGAGAGGTGGTATACCCCTAATTTGACTGCTTCTTTCCTCATTTGCCGAACAAGAGGAGCAATTCAGGGAGCACATTTGGGGCGGCGCGACGTGGAGCAAGCCTCTGCATCCCTATCGAGAGGCAGTACAGGTCTCTCATTTGCGGACAAAGCGAACAGATTTCTCCCCCTCTTTGCCAAATAAGAGAAGAAACCTGCCGACGGAAGATAGGGACCTTCGGGAGCCCCGTGTCATCAGTCTACCTTCTATTTGCTGTTCTTTCGCTCTCTCCTCTTCCTTTCTTCTCCGTGTCCTCACACCCACATCTTATGTAATCATTTTCATTTATTTCTTCCCATTGTCGGCCTCGTCCTCCCCCGCTTTTTCCTCTGTTCTCTCCTTCCCACGCTTCGCCATGAACATGTTTGTGCCGAAATTCTTTAAAGATCCAACGAGGGAGGATCTCAAGGAGACCCCCCCCTGTCCCTATTCCAACCCCCTCCCACCCCCATCATCTTCAAAGCCTCCTCCTTCTCTCTATCCTTCTCTCTCTTGCTTCTTTCCCGTCCCCCCTCCCCTAGCCCCGCCCGTTCATATACGGGGGCGTTAATTAGCAATGATAGACCCAAAGTTAAATGAAGTTGATGGGAATCTCGACTCGGACAAGTAGAGGTAATTCGCCGCGTCTATAGAAGCTGAGCTGAGAGGAGGCGGATCGATGACAGGCAGGATCATGAGGAAGAATCCAAATCATTATTCCGTCTTTATAAACACACGCACGCATATGCAGTCATAGTGAGTCTTCAGCGTTCGTCCTCTGTGCCATAAGACTCTCAAATTCCTGCGTCGACTTGTCTACTCAGGGAAAGAGGCCGCGTTCTCGCTTCGCATTCAACAAGGGCCTTTCCCCCGTGACGCCGTGGGAGGGAGGAGATCCGTAACGAGAGACGACAAAAGTGTTGATGGCGAGGAGACGCATCGGCTTCGCGGCTGATTAATGCAACTTGGGCTCAATGGGAGGAGGGGGAGGGGGGGGGAGCTCTTCCACGGTGATGAAATTGTTTAGCGGCGGGGTGGAAAGGAATGTGGAAGATCCTCTTTTATTCAGACTTATTATCCTACTCATTTATTTTCTAATACGCTCAGTCGTTCACTCACTCGCTCATCCATTTACTCACTTTCGGTCAGTCATTTACTCCCTCGGCCACTCATTGCTCACTCATTTACGCACTCACTCTCTCACTCATTCTCTTCCTCTCTCGCTCCTCTCATCAATAATATCTGTAGGATTTCACTGACGATACACATAAGAATAAAATTAATAAGGGCGGTGGCCATGGCAACAGCCAAAATTAATAAGGCTACTGAGGAAACAACACAAATATCTTCCAAAAAGAGGCACCGATATCAGCGCCTAGAGATAAAATAAGAACGTACGCAGAATCCTCCATTTCCCACGACTAAAAACATGAAGAGGGAAGGAAAAAGGAATATAAAGAAGAAGACAACCTTTTCCCAGTCCCCTTCCCCTATCACCCCCTTACCCCCTCCCCTCCCAGCCCAGACAACCTCCCCTTCAACTGACCTGCTCGCGGGACTGCTCCTCGATGACCATCTTGACCTCCAGGGACTGGCGCGTCTCGAGGAAGGCTCGCCGGTGCTTCTTGTCGGCGAAGAAGTAAGACATAAGGCCCAGCAGCGTCGCCGGACACCAGCAGGAAGTTCGCCAGCAC